GAAAATGTTATCCAAAAATGAATTCGCACAAATCGCTGCCTAATGACTAAATCATCGATCGAGAATAGAATCAATAGATTTCATTATCATTGGTGAATAGCCTCAGGCTGAATCCACGGTTTGTAGCCTTCAAATCGAAAGAAAATGGCATTTAGGGGAAATCCCAAGAAATCTGTGATGGTACCTCTTTGGAGTGCCTAAAATGGATCCGGAAGAAATCCGACTAAATCGGTACTTAATTGACTTAATCATCTTTGAAGAATAGCCTCACGCCGAATCCGTGATCTGGGGCCTTCAAAATCCCAGGAAAATGGTTTTTCGAAAAAATCGCCAAAAAATCACGAAAATGGCATCTGAAAATTAATTCACCCTAATCGGTGCCTAATTGGCTTAATCATATGTGGAGAATAGGATCAATAGACTTCATTATCGGTGGAGAATAGCCTCGGCCTGAATCCTTGATCTGTAATCTTTAAAATCGGAAGAAAATCTCATTTTGGGAAAATCACCCAAAAATTGTTATGGTATTACCCCTTAGGAGTCTGCCAAAAATGGACATGGAAGAAATCCTCCAAAAACGGTGCTTAATGGACTTAATCTTCGTTGAAGAATAGCCTCAGGTAAAATCTGTGATATGTAGGCTACAAAATCTAAAGAAAATAGCCTTTCGGAAAAAATTACCAAAAAAAACAACAAAATTGTCATCCAAAAATTCATTCGCCCAAATCGGTGTCTAATAGACTTAATCATCGGTGGATAATAGGATCAATAGACTTCATTATCGGTGAAGAATAGACTGGGGCTGAATACGTGATCTGTAGCCTTCAAAACCAAAAGAAAATGACATTTTGGCAAAATCGAGCTAAATCTGTGATGGTACCACTTGGAGTCCGTCCAAAATGGAACTGGAAGATATCCGCCCAAACCGGTGGACTTAATCATCGTTGAAGAATAGCTTCCTGCCGAATCTGTGATCTATAGCCTTCAAAATACAAGAAAGAGGCATTTCAAAAACAATCGACTAAAAAATTAAGATAATGTCATCCAAAAATGAATTCGCCCAAATCGCTGCCTAATGGACTTAATCATCGATTGAGAATATGATTATTAGACTTCATTATTGGTGGAGAACAGCCTCGGGTTGAATCCGTGATTTGTAGTCTTCAAAATTGAAATAAAATGACATTTTCGGAAAATCGCCCGACATATGTGATGGTACCCTTTTAGAGTTCGCCAAAAGTGGACCTGGAAGAAGTTCGCCCAAATCGGTACTTCATGGACTTAATCATCATTGAAGATTAGCCTCAATTCGAATCCGTGATCAGTAGCCTTCAAAGACCAAGGGAAATGACCTTTCGAAAATATACATGGAAGAACTACGCCCAAGTCGGTGCTTAATAGACTTAATCATCGTTCAAGAATAGTCTCAGGCCGAATCCGTGCTCTGTAGCCTTCAAAATCCAAACAAAATGGTTTTTCGATAAAAATCACCCATAAATAACGAAAATGCAATCAGAAAATGAATTGCCCCAAATTGGTGTTTAACAGACATAATCATCGGTGGAGAATAGGATCAATAAATTTCATCATCAGTGGAAAATAGCCTCGGGCAGCATCCGTGATTTGTAGCCTTCCTAATATAAAGGAAATGGCATTTCGGGAAAATCGCCCGAAATCAATGATGGTACCCCTTTGGAGCCTGCGAAAAATGAAACAGGAAGAAATCCGCACGAAGCGGTGCTTAATGGATTTTATCATAGTAGAATAATAACCTCAGGCCGAATCTTTGATCTGTAACTTTCAAAATCGAAGGAAAAGTACCTTTTGAAAATACCAAAAAAAATAACGATCCTGTCATCCAAAAATTAATTCACCCAAATCGTTGTCTAAAGAACTTAATCATCGGTTGAGAATAGGATCAATAGACTTCATTATCGGTGGAGAATAGCCTCGGACTGAATCCATGATCTGTAGCCTACATAATAGAATGAAAATGACATTTTGGGGAAAATTGCCTGAAATCTGTGATGGTACCCCTTCGGAGTCCGCTAAAACTGGAACTGGAAGAAATCCGCCCAAATTGGTGCTTAATGGACTTAATCATCATGGAAGAATAGCCTCCGGCCGAATTCGTGATTTGTAACCTTCAAAATCCAAAAAAATGGCCTTTCGAAAAAAAAATCGCTCAAAAAATTATGAAAATGTTATCCAAAAACGAATTCGCCCAAATCGCTGCCTAATGACTAAATCATCGATCGAGAATAGAATCAATAGATTTCATTATCATTGGTGAATAGCCTCAGGCTGAATCCACGGTTGTAGCCTTCAAATCGAAAGAAAATGGCATTTAGGGGAAATCCCAAGAAATCTGTGATAGTACCTCTTTGGAGTGCCTAAAATGGACCCGGAAGAAATCCGACTAAATCGGTACTTAATGGACTTAATCATCTTTGAAGAATAGCCTCACGCCGAATCCGTGATCTGGGGCCTTCAAAATCCAAGGTAAATGGCCTTTCGAAAATATAGCCAAAAAAATTACGAAAAATGCCATTTGGAAAATTAATTCGCCCGAATTGGTGTATAATGGACTTAATCATCGATGGAGAATAAGATCAATAGACTTCATTATTGGTGGAGACTAGCCTCGACTGAAATCATGATATGTTGCCTTCAAAATCGAAAAAAATGCCATTTCGTGAAAATCGCCAGAAATATGTGATGGTACCACTTTGGAACGATGATGCTTTTGAACGACTCAAGATGACCATGAATGAAGTACCAGTATTAGCCTTGCCAGACTTTAACAAACCTTTTACCCTAGAGACAAATGCAAGTGACATTGACATTGGGGCTGTTCTATCACATGAGGGACGACCAATTGTTTAGCTCATCAAGGACTTGGGAATTAGGAAGCAAGGCTTGTGAGCCTATGAGAAGGAGTACCTAACAGTCCTAATGGTTGTCACTAAGTGGAGACATTACCTCGAGGGAAGGCAGTTCATCATTTTGGTGAGAGCCTACAGTATTTGTTGAGGCGTAACATACACACTCACATACAGAAAAGAGACTGATGAAGCTACTTGGTTTGGATTACGAGATCAGGTACAGACAAGGAAGGTACAATCAGGTAGCTGATGCACTTTCTAAGCATGTTGAGTTCTTTAAGGGTAGTTGTCAATCAGTGACAACAGTTTTACCTGCTTGGCTGAGTGAGGTGGAATCAACTTACAAGGATGATGCCTGGCTCAAGGAGGTCATGGTAGACGCTATAGTACCTACTGCGGGGCCACAGATTCATAATTTCAAGCATGGATTAGTGTACCCCAAGTCAGCCATTTATATTGGCAGCAATGGAATTATGAGGCAGTAGGTTTTACAGATGTTTCATGAGTCTCTGCTGGGAGACACTAAGGGACTCAGGCTACTTATTAAAGGTTGAAGTCTTATTTTTGGTGGCCTGGTCTAAAGAAGGAAGTAAGGAAGTTCATTGTTGATTGTGACATCTGCCAGAAATGTAAGAGTGAGAATGTGCCTTATAATGGTGTTTTGAAACTATTACTTATACCTGAGGGTTCTTGGCAGCATATATTAATGGACTTCATTGAAGACTTACCTAAGTCTGGTGGTATGGTAAAGAGGGCATTTTGGTGGTGGTTGATCGGTTTTCTAAGTATGGCCGCTTCTTTGGTCTCAGTAGACCATACACAGCAACTTCAGTTGTCTAGGTTTTTATGGATGGGGTGTTCATACTTCATGGTATGCCATAGTCAATTGTGTCAAATAGAGATGTGATCTTCACTAGCAATTTTTGGACTAATCTGTTTGCATTACAGGGTACTCAACTCCACTGCTCCATAGTGTATCACTGAAACACCCCGATCCTTTTAAACAACCGAAATAATCATGGCTCCGGAGCCGGTTAAAAACAAAGCTTAAAAACTTAAACATTCCCAAGAAAACGTCAAATGCAATGCCCTAAACACGTGGGCAAAACTCAAATGCATAGTTAATAAACCTCAAACTTTGAACCTCCAGTTATACTCACTATCATAAACACAGCTGACTAAACAAACTATAACTCCTTGCTTAATTCCGGGACATCTCGTCAATGCTGGTGCGGCTGCTCGCCTTGCCTTGCTCCTCTCAAGCTCGCTGCTCTCTAACTCCTCTTAGTACTCTTCAAACTGGTGAGTGAGATGGGGTCAGTCTACGCCCTTACGTTTTAATAATTCTAATACTTGAGTACTTTACTTAAACACCTAACTTGACTAGTGGAAGTTGTTTGTACTTCCGATCTTAAAATCTTAACTCTTAAACTTTGAGGGAGTTGAAGTTACTCTCCTCTCTTAAACTCAAATCTCGACTTAAATACTTGACTGACGCTGGGATCCCTCACTAGCTAGTCCGGTTGCCAACTCATACGTATGAGAAGCCATCCAGGCTTTCCTTAAACTTAAACTTAGTTAGGGAAGTCGTAACGATTCATCCCCCTAACATCTTAAACTTATCGTGGTGGCTCTTCACCACGATTCTCAAGGGCATAACTGCTGCCCATCTTAAAAATCTCAAGAGCATAACTGCTGCTCTATCTCAACTGTCTCAAAAGCAACGGACTGGCGCTAGTGACTAAAAACACTTAAAACGACTTCACCTTCTTGAAGGTGAGTTACTTCTTAAAAAGACCTTGCTTCTTAACTTTAACGATAACTTATACACTTAAGGCTTAAATTTAAATAAGAACTCATGCAAATTCACATCAAGCATAGCTCAACAAATTCACATATCATCAATCATAAGCACTATCAAACAACGACATTCACTTCATCAAAAATACCCAAAACTTGAAATTCTTGAAAGAACACGTAAGGCGTAGAATTTACCCCCTTTACACTCACCTCTCATTCTCACCATCAACTGACTTGACCTTGCCCTTCAATTTATGCAGTCGATGTCCTGATTTGCACATCTCATCCTCTTGCTACTGCACGTCTTCACCCTACCTTATGCATCATGAATCCATTCCATGCACTAACCTTCCACCTAAGCAATGATCCAGGACACACGTGTATAAAAAAATACACACCCCACAAAAGGTAAATCCTTCTTGACCCATCTTTCCAATTGACTCTTCCTAATAATCCACTTATTAACGTGTCTAACCCAAACCTTTCAGCTCAAAATAACGCCATGACAAGAAAGCATTCATCATCGAGCTAATCATCACCGCGCTAGGATCATTACCGCCGCATCCCAACCATAATCAAATAGGAGAATCATTACCTTTGATTTTGTCGATCCCCATCTCCCCGCAAATCCAGCCTTCTCCAATCCATAACCGCCGGTCTATGTTTCTCGATTGATCGCCATCCCCTTGTGTGCGGTTGATGTCCTTCCGCAGCTCTGGTCCGCTTAAAACAAATAATGCCACCGCCAGCAAGCCGCCTCCTTTGTGCCTCTCGATTGATTCGGTGGCGGCTGTTGCTTTTGCAACCGAAGGAGATGGGGGAGAAGGGTTAAATGGGGAAGGGTTTATTTGGTGGGTTAATTAGAGAGAGGTGGGTTGGATGGGTGTAACGGGTGAGATGATAATGACTATGATTATGATAACAATGATAATAATAAGGATAATAATAATTGTAGTTATTAATGTTATTATTATCTCCAAATTATGGTTGTAACTCTTTGTATGTAACCGTCGATCCAACCGTTCATTTACTATGGTCGAACCTGAACCAAAAAGTCGGGGTGTAACATTTCCTCCACCCTTATAAAAATTTCGTCCTCGAAATTCGATCGGACTCATCCTTCCATAGTCCTCATTCTAGTGCTTCCTTGGCTCAAGAATTCACTCTTGATATATGACCCTCAATGATGTTTGTTTCTTGTCTCACATTGTCTACCTCACTTCTTATTTTTCCTCTTGGCCACAAAAGATATTCTTCTAAACTCGTTAGCATCGAGTAGTTTTGAGTGGCTACTTGTCCTTTTAAATCCTTGAACTTGCACCGCGGGACAAAATTTCAATTCAATTTACCGGCTCACTTAGTACTTGTTGTTGAACCTTAAATCAAAATCGAGGTATCACATTTCCTCCCCCCTTAAGAAAAATTTCGACCTCGAAATTTGTCCCTCGCGACTTTCCCAAGCGTCGTTCCTTACATCGTCTATCTCGTTGAATGACTTCTCCTTTCCAACACTTGTCGCCGGCTCCTTAAAGACTTGTCGGACTCCTTAAGACCTATTTTAATTCCTCCTTATATGCTCCCATCGTTACCCAAAATCTAACTTTCCACTTCTCCCTGGGGTCACACCCTAAGCTCGATCATACTGATCTTGGCGAATCCTCTTTGCATCCTTTCCTCTCGACAATGTCCGCCATTTGTCATAACTCCTTGGCCATTTCCTGTCGACGTACTTGATACTCGGCCCCATCCTGAACCTTATTATGATAAGCTCACACCCCCCATAGGATCGGAGATGCCTTGACTCTTCTCTTCTCGCTTATCAACGGGTTTCACTAAACGATCCCTCTAGGAACCAGCTACTTCTCCTTCCCAAGACGTATCATAACCCCATAGGGCATCCTAACGTTATTTCCTTGTCATGATTAGAGTATACTGGAGATTCTAAAAATCCTCAAAAGACTTTGACTCGTTTGGCCAAACGTTTAAATGACACTTCCAGTTTTCCTTTCCTTTAAAAACTGAACCCTTGAAAAACTCAGATCGTCACTCCAGTATTCCTTGGAGGCCAAGGAACAGAGGAGTGCCGGCTCTGATACCAAAATGAAACACCCCGATCCTTTTAAACAACCGAAATAATCATGGCTCCGGAGCCGGTTAAAAACAAAGCTTAAAAACTTAAACATTCCCAAGAAAACGTCAAATGCAATGCCCTAAACACGTGGGCAAAACTCAAATGCATAGTTAATAAACCTCAAACTTTGAACCTCTAGTTATACTCACTATCATAAACACAGCTGACTAAACAAACTATAACTCCTTGCTTAATTCCGGGACATCTCGTCAATGCTGGTGCGGCTGCTCGCCTTGCCTTGCTCCTCTCAAGCTCGCTGCTCTCTAACTCCTCTTAGTACTCTTCAAACTGGTGAGTGAGATGGGGTCAGTCTACGCCCTTACGTTTTAATAATTCTAATACTTGAGTACTTTACTTAAACACCTAACTTGACTAGTGGAAGTTGTTTGTACTTCCGATCTTAAAATCTTAACTCTTAAACTTTGAGGGAGTTGAAGTTACTCTCCTCTCTTAAACTCAAATCTCGACTTAAATACTTGACTGACGCTGGGATCCCTCACTAGCTAGTCCGGTTGCCAACTCATACGTATGAGAAGCCATCCAGGCTTTCCTTAAACTTAAACTTAGTTAGGGAAGTCGTAACGATTCATCCCCCTAACATCTTAAACTTATCGTGGTGGCTCTTCACCACGATTCTCAAGGGCATAACTGCTGCCCATCTTAAAAATCTCAAGAGCATAACTGCTGCTCTATCTCAACTGTCTCAAAAGCAACGGACTGGCGCTAGTGACTAAAAACACTTAAAACGACTTCACCTTCTTGAAGGTGAGTTACTTCTTAAAAAGACCTTGCTTCTTAACTTTAACGATAACTTATACACTTAAGGCTTAAATTTAAATAAGAACTCATGCAAATTCACATCAAGCATAGCTCAACAAATTCACATATCATCAATCATAAGCACAATCAAACAACGACATTCACTTCATCAAAAATACCCAAAACTTGAAATTCTTGAAAGAACACGTAAGGCGTAGAATTTACCCCCTTTACACTCACCTCTCATTCTCACCATCAACTGACTTGACCTTGCCCTTCAATTTATGCAGTCGATGTCCTGATTTGCACATCTCATCCTCTTGCTACTGCACGTCTTCACCCTACCTTATGCATCATGAATCCATTCCATGCACTAACCTTCCACCTAAGCAATGATCCAGGACACACGTGTATAAAAAAATACACACCCCACAAAAGGTAAATCCTTCTTGACCCATCTTTCCAATTGACTCTTCCTAATAATCCACTTATTAACGTGTCTAACCCAAACCTTTCAGCTCAAAATAACGCCATGACAAGAAAGCATTCATCATCGAGCTAATCATCACCGCGCTAGGATCATTACCGCCGCATCCCAACCATAATCAAATAGGAGAATCATTACCTTTGATTTTGTCGATCCCCATCTCCCCGCAAATCCAGCCTTCTCCAATCCATAACCGCCGGTCTATGTTTCTCGATTGATCGCCATCCCCTTGTGTGCGGTTGATGTCCTTCCGCAGCTCTGGTCCGCTTAAAACAAATAATGCCACCGCCAGCAAGCCGCCTCCTTTGTGCCTCTCGATTGATTCGGTGGCGGCTGTTGCTTTTGCAACCGAAGGAGATGGGGGAGAAGGGTTAAATGGGGAAGGGTTTATTTGGTGGGTTAATTAGAGAGAGGTGGGTTGGATGGGTGTAACGGGTGAGATGATGATGACTATGATTATGATAACAATGATAATAATAAGGACAATAATAATTGTAGTTATTAATGTTATTATTATCTCCAAATTATGGTTGTAACTCTTTGTATGTAACCGTCGATCCAACCGTTCATTTACTATGGTCGAACCTGAACCAAAAAGTCGGGTGTAACAATCACCCTCAGACTGATGGTCAAACTGAGAGGTTGAATCGTTGCCTTGAAGACTATCTCCATGCATGGTTCTTACTAGTTCTACTACTTGGTTTTCTCGGTTACCACTGGCTGAATGGTGGTACAACACCAATTTTCATCACAATTTATAAATCACACTCTTTGAGACTTTGTATGGGTATTCCCCTTCTCAAATGGGAATTTAGAACCCACTTCCACTTTGATGGCAGCTATGGCTAACAAACTAAGGGAGCATCAGAGATTGGTTGGGCTTCTCAGGCATAACTTGGCAAAAGCTCAGAATCATAAAAAAATATATGGATGACAAGCATAGGGTTGAGCGAGTGTTTAAAGAAGGAGATTGGGTGTATTTGAAGCTAAGGCCATATCACCAAATCTCAATGAAGCAGAGGGCTAATCAGAAGTTAGCTCCTAAGTTCTATGGGCCTTTTTTTGTGTTACAAAAGGTTGGAGCAGTAGCTTATAGCTGCAGCTTCCTACTGTTGCTACCATTAACAATGGGTTCCATGTGTCCCAATTGAAACAGGCTAGAGGGGTTCAAATTCGAACTCAACCATCACTACCAGATGTCGATGGTGCTGGAACCTTGAAGCTGGAACCTACTGCAGTCTTAGTCAGAAGGGTAGTCTTGATTCAATGGTCAGGAGGAAGCCAACTGAGAGTTCTTGGAGGAATTGAAGCAGAAGTTTCCTGATTTTAAGACTCGAGGACAAGTCTCAGCCGAAGAGGTGGGACTTGTAACTGTTGGGGTCGAATTGTAATTAGATAAAAATGAGAGGACTGTTGTGTAAGTAGTGGTTGATAGGTGCTAATCCAGGATCGGATAGTTGATTATCCGTTGCTAGAGGTGGCAATTAGGATCCAAATCCATGAATCCAATCCAATCCATCCACCAAATTATCCACCTAATCCAATCCATTTAAATCCAATCCATTTGATCAAAATCCAATTGGATTGGTGGATTCATGGATCAATGCATGGATCCAAATGGTTACAATTTGGTACCTATACTTTTTATATTTTACATTTTGGTACCTAAAATTTATATTTTTATACGAAAAATATCATTGGAAAATTACATTTTGGTACCTAAAATTTTCATTATGACATTTTAGTACCAAAATTTTTCAAATTTTACATTTTGTTCCAAGCCTTGGATGTCATTTGGATTCATGGATCAATCCACCAATCCATTTGGTCCAATCCATGAATCCACCAATCCATTGAATCCAATCCATTTGATCCATGGATCCACCAATCCAATCCACGAATCCGATGCAATTGCCACCTCTATCTGTTGCAAAGTTTGTTTGAGGCATTGAGAAATGGGAAACGAATTTTCCCTCCCAATTCATCTCTCTCTACCTTCCCCTTCTCTCTCCTGCTGTTCTCATTCTCTCTGCAAACTCTCTTCTTCTTTCCTAATTAGTAACTCTAGCTGAGCAGATTCAGATTGTTACAAACTACATGAAGCATCGCACACCAGATTTTATATTTATTAAATTGAATAATATAAAACTTGAGAGTCGAGACCAATATTTTCAAAGCATTCACACAGCCATGATGATATTTGGAGAAAAGAGAGAAGTGCAGAAGAGAGCTTGATAGAGAAAGGTTGGCGGCTACAGACCTACCTCCTCAAGCATATTTATTAGGAATTTCTTTTTTTTTTTTTGGTGTGATAGGAATTTCAATTTCCCCGTCGTCTAATATCATAATCCATCCATAATATTAATAGTTTGTGTTTTGCGTAATTGGACTTTATCAAGAAAACGGTCCTTAAATTAGTCTTTTCTTCAGCCCCTTCTGTTTTCTCCCTCATTCCCATCAACTCTGTCCCAAAAGTGTCAACTAATCTCGATTAGTCAATTAAGATCCAACCATAGAAGATGGAGAGAGAGAAAAAAAAGTCATTTTCGTGAAGTATTCAATATTTTTATTTGTAAACTTCAATCAAGGATCTTTACATGTTAAACCAACTTGTCCATTGTTGATTAAATGGTTTATATATGTCTATTGTTCTCTTTTACATTTCTATCATAATCATAAAGAACACAAAAAATGTCATATATGATCTCCGATCGTGATTCTAGAAAGAAGTGTTGAGAATTTTTTATATAAATAAAAATTTTCATTTGGTTTGAGTCGAATAAACTAACCAGATCAAACCAAATTTTTTTTTCTCATATCGCATTTATATAGTCACATATTTATTTAATTCCAGTTGAGTAGGATCGGCGTGTACTACCAATGCGATATGTAAAAACTATAATTTCATTAATTTCAATGCTAAAATGAAAGATTTTTAGTCCAAATTTAGTCCAAATGAAAGATTTTTTTTAGGGACGTGGGGATGCTAAAATGGCACCTATGCATGGCACTTATATAAACGAGATTGCACAATGCTCGTGTTGTCATACAAGACCCAGTAAGATAAACATAGGCTAGGAAATACTTAAATCAATACAACCTATGTTGGCTAGCTAGATGACCAGCGCTAGAAAATCAGTTGCCTTGTTGCGGTGTCTATAGATCGATATATGAGAGATTTTCACCTCCCAATTCAGTTGGAGAAGGCTCTGAAATTGCCGAGGTATCGTTGTTCTCTTTTCCCGATGGAAGTCGACACTCGAATGGCAGTTGTGGAGTTCAATTGAAGGTGGACCTTCCTGTGACTCTACATCCATGCTGCTTGTTTCGAGCCATTATGTAAAGACAAAGTGAGAGAGCTTTCGTGGATTCCAAACCGACGCCATACTTGCTGGGACTGGGAGCTTGGGCACTGTCAGAATAACTTGCTCGATTATTTCGGGCCCTTGCTTGCAAATCGCACACGAGTCTTGTTAGCTTTCTTCTAATCAGCTTCTCATCGCCATTAAGTTGAAGTTAATTTGTGTGTATAAGCAATCAATGCAATTGTATGTTTAATCAGTGGCGAATTCAGAAATTTTTCATAGAGGTGACCTCTCCAAAAATTGAATTTAATTAATTAATAAATTAAAAATTCGTATATTAAAAAATATCAGACCAGCATAAATTAAAATTTATGATGTGTTTTCATATTTTGAAAAAAGAAAAGAAAATAAACTTGGTGTTTGTACTGTTCAAAAATTATGTATATCCTACTAAATAATACTTCACGAAGTTATCGCATATTCAATTTCTAATCTTGTTCTTTACGTAGCTCAAAGTTGAAAAAACTCTTTCAACACTTGCCGTGTAACCATAAAATCAATTCAAAATTAAGGGTAGCCTGTAATTAGTTTAATTATTAGGTATTGAAAATAGTTAGGAAAAGAAATAGTGTTTTTACTGTTACACGATGTTTAAAATATAAATACAAATGAGTAGCAATATAATGGAGAATATGTTTAATAATAGTAGTGTCCTAGGTTGGAATAACACGGGCTACTATAGGACAATCATTTTTTCAAATGTTAGGGTATCCCGGATTACCAATTATATTTTTTATACCCATACGAGACTACTATCAAGGGTTGGATAATCGTTCCTCAAATTTTAGTGGTGTACTAAATTCTCATGATGTAATCATCGCAAGTGGCTAATAGTGGACAACGATGCCAAACTAACTTATGGAAAGGAAGCCTAGAACGCTGCTCTGCAGTGTTGCGCTTCATCAATGGCTGCTCCTGCATCATTCCTTGACGTCTAATCAGTTGAAGTGTTTTTTTTTTTTCCTCACAAAGACCTGTTACAAAGTACTACTGGAAGAATGGCGTAAGGGGAAATAAGCGTTGTCTCTGGAATTCGAACCCGAGGTCTCCAGACTGAAAACCTCCGTGCGACCACTGGACAACGGGCTTGTTCGCAAATCAGCTTGAAGTTAATTAATAATTAGTGTGTATGAGTAATCGATGCAGTTGTATTATTGGGGAAGAGCCAGCCAATCAATTCTCAAGGCCCAAGTTTGGGGGGTCCATCCAAGTGAACAAAATGTTTAATATATAGAAAAGCACAAGAGAATTTTTTATACAATTTTCAACACTTCATTTTCACCTACCAATCTACCATAACGGGAAAATATTAGTTAATACTTAATAGTAATCATCTAGGGTTTGAACGGTACATAAAAATATACGAGCCTTCGGAATCTTGTTGTTGCGTGGAAAAGGACTTACACAGTACTCAAATGGGAATTAATTATTCCAAGAAGTTGCTATGCTAGCTGGAGGACTTGTTAAATCAAATTATAAAAGCATTAATGCATGGGCTTTTAGTTTCTTTTTTCGTTTATTTGTATATTATATATACTAGCTTTTGACCCGTTGGGCGGATGAATTCATTTATTTGTCACTACTTTATGATAATCACCTTATTAGAGCTTTGATCCTAAAACTTCATGTTGTTTCCTTGTTTCTCCAACACATGCGCACATGCAGACCTTTCTAGTTTTAGGTCTGTCAATCATTCTGAGGTAAAGTTAAGATCTGCTCTAGAGAGATAAGTGGTATTTCAAGTTTTAGAGAGAGAATCCAACTTGCTT